GGCGGCGGCGGCGCGTCGGGCGTCTCATCCCCACCCAGGAGGAAGCAGCGGATGAGCAAGCGGTGGCGACGCTGGGACTCATCAAACGCCTGCCCCTCCGAAAGAAACCCTTCGAGGAAACGGGCCTGAAGGCGACGGAAAGCCGCCGCAGATGCTTGGTCCGCCGGCGAAGCCGGCCGGAGGCGAGCGGCCTCCAGATTCACCACGAGTTGCGGGAAAGCACGTTGTTCAGGCGGGGGCCTCTGCAGCACGCCCCAGCCGTCGAATGCCAGCGCCGTCAGCCCAGGGAGGCGCGCCCAGTCGGGCGTCGCGGCCGCCAGGCTGTCGGGCGTGAGCAGCACCCGCGTCGCGAGCTGCTCCCGCGCCGCGGCGTCCAAGGCGCGGCACGCCAGCCGCGCGGCGCGGACGGCGGCGCGGACGGCGGCGCGGGCGCGCGCGCGGGTGGCCGCTGTGGCGCAGCAGCAGGAGTTCTCATCTTCTGGGTCCTCTGTTGTCATCAGGCACTGCAGCACCCGCCCCAGCATCTGGGAGCCGAGAGTCTAGCTCCGTCCCTTTGCCCGCGTGCATTGCAGCAGAGGAGGGGGTGCATTTATCGAAACAGTGCACACGGCGGCCGGTCCAACTGCCACGCGTCAGAAAGGTGCAGTCGGGCATGCAGGCTGTAAGTATTGGTGTGCAACTGCATGTGCACACAGTTACGCAAAAGGGGCGCACGGCTTGAATTTGTTTGCCACCGAGGGCATTGGCATGCTGCATGCCATGCGGCGCCCATGCATGGTTCTGCCTGACTAACGCAGCAGGTACAATTACACGCACTTCACGTTCACTCAATTGGCCTCACCGGGAAACGCGGTTTCTTTTCTCATGGCAGCAGGCAGCTTTCTGTACGGGTTGGCGCGATGGGCTTGTCCGTTGAACTGTTTGAAACCGTCAAGCAATAATCGAATTACGGTGATGAAGCGTGCTTGACGGTGAGTTGAGGTTAAACGAGGGAATCTTGTGGGAGAACATCTTGCGGAATCGCGCACTTTGCCATGTGTAGCTGCCCTGCAAGCGCTGCAGCGGTGTGCTACCTAAGACTGTGCTTGCGTGCTCCTGAGCCACCAGCTTGTGTGTTACAACGCTATCTTGACCCAGCACACGCCTGCGCACACCCCCTCGACATAGAAATAAAAATCAAAACGGCCCCCGGCCCCACACAAGGCACCGTACCCGCCCTGTACGGTTGAGCGCTGCCTCCCCCAGCACGCCCAGGCCAGCCACGCTCCAGGACCCCCCGCGAGGTTGAACTGTGACATTCATCGCCTCGATGGCAACATGAGCCCTGCTGTCTGACACAGGCCCAAGGTACTGCACGCGCAGGTGCCGAGCCGGAGGCTTGTGACGCAGCAAACCCCACGATCAGGGTACTGCAGGCATGGCTGGCTGTCCATAAGAGTGTGCACTCACGTGGAAAACAAATTGATGTTTTGAGAGAGGCATCATTGCTGCATCACCAGGCGCATCGGCCTCAAACTCTGCAGCATTCCATCACTGCAGGGTCCCACGACGCAAACTTCACAATTATATGCGACGAGCGACTTGACGCTGTTGCAAGTTTCGGCAGCCATTTGTCAAAAATGGGGTCTTGCATGCTGGCCCCCCCCCCCTTCAACCAACGCCCATTCAGCCCAGTCAGCAAGATGCAGGTACACCAAGAGAATGTGACAGTGGCACAGCTGGAGACCCGCAGAGGCCCCCGTACGCCAAGCTGGCCCTGGCAAGCCCCGAGTATGTACCTCTTTGCATGAGGGATGCGGGCGGGCAGGGATACCCAACTCGCTTTGTGCACACTGCTGCATGCCGCATTTGGAGTGTGGGTGTCTACGGTGCGCGGTGGGCTCCTCCGGTCACCACAGGGTGACGACGTGCTCCTCACTGCATGCATGCGACTTCGGTGATGTCTCCTATGCATTGTATTGATCTTTTTTTAAATTAGGGTAGCAAGTGCTCTCTCTCGAGGCAGTTGCGGCGTCGCATCAGCATTGGCGGGTGAGGATGAACAGGGCCGGACGCGGCTGTCCACAGCCGTGCAGATGTGTGGGCTGGACTTTGTAGGCGTACCGCAGCCAATTGCAGTGAAGCAAGCAGCCCACATGTGCTGGTTCACGAACGGCGCTTCCAGGGACCTGGCATCGTGGCGGAAGCAGCGACCTGCACTCACTGCCCCACCGTCCCACCCGCGACCCAAGGTGCCAGGCGGCAGGAACACTCCGTGCTCTTCCTTGTATACAACAATTTACGCGTTAAGTACCACGTTTACACCAGTCACGTCCGTTCTCGCACTTCCCTGTTGTCGACGCAACTGAGCTTCAACCCAGCCGACAGGGCAACACTCACGGGTTACTAACGATGATTACATAAGACACGCAGTATCAAGATATTATGCTCAATAGTGGAGCGGGTGCGGCTCACCTCCGAAGCTGGGTAACTCGGCACAACCAGAGATGAGCAGGGTGAGGCGCAGTCGCAACGGGGAAATCAGTGCTCACAGAGCTTGTGATGAAACCAAGTTCAAGTGGCGCCGCTTCTCTTACCCGCAGGAGGTGTTGCGACCGAAATGAAGCACACCGACGTGCTGCGCGCGCACAGCGCAGCGCGCGGGCCCGCGTCAGCGGCAATGGTGCTCCCGCGGTTCCGCCCTCGCCCCCACTCGCTGCTGCTGGCGCTCTTCATGGCGCTCGCCACGGCGCCGCCGTCTGCGGCGGTCCCGGTCAACCTCTTTTTTGAGGGCCGGCCGAATCAGGTCGCCCAGCCGTGGGCAGTCACATACTCTTGGGGGCGCCCCACCAAGGGGGTGTGGCCGGTCAACCTGGTCTACACAGCCACCGACGGCGGCACCGCGGTGTACACGGCCCAGGTCACCCGCGAGTCGAGGGTGATCGCCGGCCGCCTGGAGGGGGTGCTGACCGTCCAGCGGCGCGCCCCTGAGGACAGCGGCGGCGACGGGTACACCCTCGTGGCGAAGCCCCCTATCGTCGAGCTCTGGCAGGCGGCGGGGCCGCTGGGCGCGGTGCAGAAGTCCGCGTCCGCCCCCTGCAAGTTCGACGGCGGCGCGGCGACCGCCAGGCTGGAGCAGCCCGGGCTGACCGCTCGCTGCACCTACAGCTTCCCTCCGCCCTTCAACTTTGACCCGGAGCAGCGCGCCGAGCTGCGCGTCGGGTCGATCGCGTTTGACCAGTTCGGGCCCCCAAACGGCTTCTCGGGGTTTGCGCCATACCCCATAGATCCCTACGGCCCCCAGCCGTCCCCGGGCCGCTGCGCAGAGGTGACAGACACCATGTTTTTTTCAAACGCCGGCGGCAGGGCGACGCCTTACAACCTGAACAACGTCCAGATCGTCCCGCTCGACGGCAGCCCCCAAAAGGCGCCCGCGGCGCCGGGCATGGGGCAGCAGGTGTGCGGCACGACCGTTTTCAGGTACTCTGCGAGGTTCCCGCCGGTGACGTGCGGGCCAGTGGCGTTCCCGGTGAGAACTCACGGGATGTTTCCAGTGGGGGGCTCTGCGCTGCTGTCGCTGGTTGAAGGGAAGGGCGGCGGGCTGAGCCGGTGGGGTTGGGGCGGGGACGTCAGTGGTTCATCACCTGTGAGGGTGACATGGGGCCGGGGCAGGCGCCGCCTGGTCGCGGCCGAAGCAGCCGGCGCCGCTTTTGAGGCGGCCGCAGTCTGCCCGCTTGTGGCCTCAGGGTCCTGCGGCGCGCTGCAGCCGCTCTGCACGCGCCCTGGCCGCGCGTCGCGGCTGGGATTATTCCGCGGAGCGCCCCCTGCGCCGTCCACGCCCACGCCACGCCCTTTGCCGCCCGAGAAGAGCGGGACAGCACCCGTTCTTGCCCACAGCCCAGGCTTAGCATGCCGTGCGCACGGCCGCACCCCATCCACGCAGGTCTCGAACCTGCTAGTTGTGAGGGTGATCGACACTGGCGCCACGTTTCAGGCGGTGGTGTCAATGACAGTCTTCCCTTCTTGCAGCTTCGTGATAC